CCACCCCGCCTCCCCCTCCTCCTCCCCTGCAAGAAATACAGTCTGAAATGCTGGATGTAATTCTATGCTGCACCTTCTGGAGACAAAGGACACAAGGTACAACCCATGATGGGGAGAGGGAGGAGGGAGAGGAGGAGAAAACAACTTTAAATTGGGGGCTGTATTAATTTATGGAAGCACTACCTGGGCTGTATTAGACCCTGCATTATTTGTTTTGTTCAGCGGTGCATACACAGCAGCCAAGCTCTCCGTCCTGTCTTACACGGGATTCCTGTTTGGTCCTGTGCTGTGCCTGCACTGCGAGACTCCCCCTCTAGTACCTTTCTGTACAATGTGGACTCCTATGTGTTTCTCAAATCTGTGTACGAGGGCTGCAGCAAGGGCCAGAATCAGTTCCCTTGAGTTTAATCTGCCTGAACATCAAAGCCAAGGAAAACCACTGAATTTGTTGTGGATTTTACCTAGCACTATAAATCAATCCCAGTCTTGAAACGGAGCCCAGGTTCACCTGCAAGGGTCACCAACTGTGGTGGGTTTTCTATTTAATGTACTCTGAGCTTCACAAACTATGTAAGTGCTCCAGGACATCAGACCCCATGGAAATTTCTCCTGGCTTAGCTGGAAATCACACTGCTTATGATGCCTGAATCTACATTCAACAGAACACTAGCAAATGATTTATGGTGAAGGAAGATCCTGTCAGAGCTACAGACAGGGTAGCTGGGCCTCCTCCTCACCTCCCTTTTTAATTATTCTATGGCACATGGGATTTCAAGGTGCAATAACCCAGGCCTTTTCTAACCACTATATTCTACAGGTAGTCTCTTTTAAAAAAAGTCCATCTTTCCCCTCACCTCTTCAATTCTTCATTCTTAAAAATTTGTTTCAGCAGGTATGCTAGGAAGAGCAAACAACTTGTGGTCCTAAGACTATTGTCTTTAAAAAATAGTAAATACCTCTAATTCCACTGAAAAGGGACAAGAATATGAAGTAGTCAATGTGGTTTAAGAATACAGCACAGAAAATTCTGAGGGGAAGAAAGAAAAATGCACACTGAGAGTAAAGATATGTTGGGGAAGTAAGGATGGATGGAGAGGACCAGGCAAGACTTAGACAAAACTGAACTGCAGGCAGAGCTAAGAGAAATATGCAAGTATATTTAAAAAGTATATTGTGTGGGGAAAAAGAAAGACTGGTAGAAAAAATCAAAATGTGTATGTAGGTGGAATTGTGAATCAGTCTAAATAAGCTGATCTGTTTAATGTCCTTTTCCAGCTGGTCTTTGACAAGAAACTGAAGAAAACATGACCAAATCACAAGAACTTTTCAGGGAAAAACATTAGAATCCACCACTGATCATTGGGAATAGAGGAGAGGAATCCCAGGGCATTAAGAAAATTAATTCTTTCAAAGGCACTTTATAAAGTTGCTGAATATTGGAGCAGACTTGTGTTAAGGGAAAAGTCCTTTTAATGACTCCGTATCTGCTGCTTTCTTCTTTTCAGTGTGACCAGCATGCTTTCATGTACTCCATTATCATACCAGATTATAAAGTTTAAAAGGGCTAACCAAATAAAAATGTCACATAACTTAGCAAGGTTTGCTTTAATTTGCCTTCAGCTACCCAAATGTCCTTTTGCTCTGAAAAAAATCATTACAACTAATGCTATGCATCAGAATGGCGTTACAGCAATGTTTATTTGGAAGCAGTGTCAAAGAGTTCACAACATTGCAGCAAATGCTGCTCAAAATATTTGAAGAATGTATCTGGATGTTTGGTGGGAGAGTTGTTTCTGGCTTGTTATGGTTATTTTTAAGATACCTTAATCTCTGGCAATGCCCGTAAGGAGCAAAATGCAGGCTTATTGTAACCACATTTATCTACAGAGGTCAGAGAAATCTAAGAATAAGAGAGGTCAGCTTGTTCCCAACATATTTGCCAGAAACAGAAAAGCAAATTTTAGTTCCAGCTTAAGGGACAGTGTTTGTTGCTTGTCTCTTGGGACACAAGCTAGATACCCCATATTTTATCACAGTGATAGTTCTGTCCAAAGCTGTGATTTTGATAAGATTCAAATGAGGCGGGTGATAATGAGAAACAGTGAATGTGGATGCTGACATCTTTTCCTAATTGTTTCCTCATAATGGAACAGAAATGCTCTCGTAGTTGTTTCTCATTCAGACTAGTACATGGTCAAACATTTAGTGTATGCTTCTTGTTTGCAATCAATTTTTTCTTTTTTTTTCTCAGTGGCACAGACTTGATATTATCAGGCAGGGACCACTTTTATACCTAGTGTGGATTGTTCCCTTCTCCCTGCATTTTGGCTCTGTTGAATCCATGCTCATCTGAGGAGTGCATTTCATCACCGTTGTTAACGCACATGTTTACAAATACACTGGCAGTCATAGACCATAAATAGAGGCCAGTGACTGAGACCAGGTAAAGAGTAGCAAAGTGAAAATAGCGAAGTCACAGCGAAGCAGAAGATCCATATGGATTGAGATGGTTGTTGAAGGAAAACGCAGGCTAATTTTGGGGTACAAATTAAAAAGTGCTAGGAACTGAGAGCAGGAAAGCATTTCACACACTTACAAATCTATCAGGAAGTATGGAGATGCTGTGTACTCTCACACATAACATTATACTAAGAAACAGCTCCTAGCAACATACTGAAACGGGGAATAGCAGAGCTCACAGGGAACAACATTTTGAGAAAAGGAAGAGGACAGGCCCCACAATTAAGGTGCTTTACCCTGTCTGCCACAAACAAAGTAGCAGGTAGAGCACAGGATGCAGCTTTAAGCACTGAAGAGCTATTTTTTCCTTTCTCTCTGCCCTCAGCTCTCATCTGACTGCCTCCCAAGAGGCAGCAGAGATTCCTTTAACAAAGTTCCTGACACTGGGACATGGCTGTGCTGAGTTATATTCTCTCTCTTTACCTGCTTAAAAGTTAGGAGTCTTATCTGTGCACTCATCTAGCCTCTGTTGTAGTCAAGGTAAGAAGGTAGGTACATCCCAAAGGCAATCCCAAGAGCAGTGCCTGAGTTAAAGGGCCTGATTTCTCTCTGCATTTACTCTGCTTCCGGTGAAGGAACTGAGATGTATAATTTTTGTGGGTTATAGTTGGGTGAGATAAATACTCTGCTTAAAATCAGTGGGATCCTAAGTATGATTAAAGTTTGCTTGCACAGGAGCAGGAGATAAACATGCACAAACTACTTTGAATAATGCTAACTTTAAGACTTCTTTCTTGAAAATGATTACATTACGATATTTAATATATTCTCTAAGATGAATATTTATTTGTAGGCCTCATTGAAGAACTTCCATCTATCCCTTCTCAAGCTATTTGAGCAAAATTAGAATGGAAAAAAAAAACTCTGATTTCGTGGGAGATAGGTATGTAGTCTACATTTAGAAATGTGCAGTCATTTAGAAGCAAGGGGAGGTTTTTGGCTACTTAAGGAACCTGAAGTGAAAAGAAGTGAATTGTTCTGAAGGGCAATATACAGCACCTGTTAGAAGCATAATTACAAAGTTAATTTCTGTCTTTGCTTTTAAGTGGCTGCTTGTTTCTAAATTAATTTGTTTTAGAGGGGTAAAATCAGGAAATATTTAAAATTAATTGAATTTTGTGGGTTTTTTTTAAATCAAAATGTTTGATTTATTTGAAATATTTTCTCTCCCCAACTTTAATGTGAAGACAAAGATTTTGGTAGCACAAAAATGTGCATCCTAACTAGCTTTAGTTACAAGCCTTCTATGTCACACTGAGAGCTGCTCTTGCAGATGTATATAAGAGACTAATGGTCATAACTTAAGGGTAACCCTATAAAAAATTTCCAGCTGCCTTAGCTATCTCTATCTACTCTGTAAATACAATTTCTTTAAGAAACTCTGAATGTCAGATATGCAGTAATGTAGGGATCATTGCAACTAATAATGAAGAAATCTATCTGTATTTTGAATAGAGATTTATCAAGGACAACGAATTCAACTGAATGGGAGGAAGAAGAAAGAATTCTAAAGCTCTAACCAAAAAACACTACATGATATTTACAAAATCTACAATACTAGCAGTATTTTCTGTCAGTATCTAAAAGTACTCAAGAAACCAGTATTGCAAGAAAAGGCCAGTCTGATGCTAGATGGTATGGGAATGTCACCTATAAGATTTGTCTCATCATTCTGCTCTGCTTGATAACTGATTTTGTTCCCTTGCTTTGACACTGATGCTGAGAGAATATGGTGATAGATTTCAAGAATCCCATCTTTGACACCTTACCCAAAATTTGATCTCAGAGTAAAACCACACAACAAAAGCACGAGAGCAAAGACCTGAGTTTGTCATGGAGAAACTGAGGCCTTATGGCCTAGACAAGTGGTCTGTGCAGTGGGTGAGGAATTGGCTGGTGGGCCGCACCCAAAGGTGGTGGTGAATAGCTCTTTTTCAAACTGGCAACCCGTCACAAGTAGGGTCCCCCAGGGATCGATATTGGGCCCAATGCTATTCAATATCTTCATAAGTGATCTGGATAACGGGATCAAGCGTAGCCTGATGAAGTTTGCAGATGACACCAAATTGAGTGGGGAAGCAGACACTCTGGAAGGGAGAGCCACCCTGCAGGAAGATCTGGATAGGCTGGAAGAGTGGGCTAACATGAACCTTATGAAGTTTAACAAGGACAAGTGTAAGGTCTTGCACCTGGGAAAACATAATCCAGGAGTGCAGCTCAGACTGGGATCCACCTGGCTAGAGAGCAGCTCCGTGGAAAGGGACCTGGGGGTCCTG